GTTACACCTAATGTTGTTAAATGCATGTTTACTGCATTATTTCAGCTTCGTGTGTGTTACCGTGATGGTGTTTAGTGTCTGTGTGCATGACGCTGTGCAGCTTCTATGCGTGTTATTATCTAAAAGCTGCTTGTGATGGGCTTTGGTTCATCATCACCTCCTGCATTTGGTGGTTATCAGTGTATTACAAAGCTACAAAACAGATTTCAGTACTTCAGTAGGTTGGTATATTAGCATTATATCCGTTAATGAAATCACGGTATTTAACTGTAAATTTAAATTAAATCTGTAAAACCTCAAATGTTGCTACTGTATATTTTTTTACAGTAAAATTCTGGCAACCACAGCTGCCGGCTTTTTACTGTACACTTTACAGGATTGTTTTTACGGTGTAGTCTAGACATGTAGGCTATAATAACACGTACCTGGAAGGGCTTCTCTCCGGTGTGAACCAGCTGATGGCGCTTGAGTTTGGAGCTCTCCACGAAGGCTTTCCCGCACTCGGCGCACACGTGGACCCGCGGGCCGTGAGTGTGCAGGTGCTTCCTCATGGCTGAATTATCCCTGAACATTTTACTGCAGCCCTGTCAGAAACACAGGAGACACGCCGGTTTAGAAAGCCATGTCAAATTAACGTAAGGTCAGCTTTTAAAAACCGTATCTCGAGACTTCATGGCGTTTTCCCATCCCACTGCATCGCGTGTTTTCAAATGAAGAAAGTAGTCTGTGATTGGCTTTCGGTCCTTTGTATTAAACTATACATACATACATGATGCTGTTTTGTTTCTAATTATTTAAGCAACTTGTGTTATGGGTTATAAACATTATTTATAACCCTGAATTATCCCTGAACATTTTACTGCAGCCCTGTCAGAAACACAGGAGACACGCCGGTTTAGAAAGCCATGTCAAATTAACGTAAGGTCAGCTTTTAAAAACCGTATCTCGAGACTTCATGGCGTTTTCCCATCCCACTGCATCGCGTGTTTTCAAATGAAGAAAGTAGTCTGTGATTGGCTTTCGGTCCTTTGTATTAAACTATACATACATACATGATGCTGTTTTGTTTCTAATTATTTAAGCAACTTGTGTTATGGGTTATAAACATTATTTATAACCCAAAGATAGTCGTGTTATTTTATTATGCTTTGAATAAATGTGCATTAGTAATATTTTGCTCGATGCGCCCTCTTGTGGCATCAGGAGAGAAGACAAAAGCTTTTTCCCCCCTAACTGAAATTATGCCCTTTAATTAGAACATAATTCAATTATTGATGATATTTTAGTAGGGATGTAACGATTCACTGAACTCACGATTCGATTCACGATTTTTTACAAAAAGAGATTTAAGACAAATTATAAATTAAATGTGTCCTTTTATTATTGCTTGGACTAAATGCTGCACATTTCTTAGTGAAATTGAAATATGACACTATAATAATATACTAATAAAGCACTTGCATATTATTGCTTTTTAGTTGGTTTTGATTGCTTCTGTTGTCCTCATTTGTTAGTCGCTTTGGATAAAACAAACAAAACTTAAATATAATGTAAATGTAAATAACAAAACTAAATTTACATTTTAAAACAAGCCCCAAATTAGTGCTGGGAGGTATGACCAAAAATGTATATCACGGTATTTTTCCAAATTATACCGGTTTCACGGTACATGACGGTGTATTTAATTTTAATTTTAATTCATGACCGGGTGTTAACCATATTTTGATTACACAGCAGATGTTTAGCAGACGTCTTACAGATGTACTTGTGCTGTCTGGGTAGCTGAGAAGCAGATACAATTTACGTTTATTACTGTCATTCATAATGTCTAAATATAATTTAATAAATACAAAAAAAATGTATATAGGGGAGTGGAAATGGCAAATAAGTACTTCTCTGCAGCCATCTACTCGAGGTAATTTAATGTCTTTTCTATTTTTAAATAAGTCTTTGCTTTGTACATTATGAAACTTTTAGTTATAAATGGGGGCAGCCTATGAAGGATGAACAAATAATGTCATCGCATTAAAAATAACTTTCAGATTCGGTAATACTAAAGCTTTGAAGTGCTGGGAAAAGTGTCAGGCACTCGAAAACATCAGAGCATTTCTGCCGCAAGTTGTTCCTGTAGTTTTACTGTTAAAGCCACGGTGAACGGTGGTGACGTGTGCGCATCGCGTCACTCGCTCTAGATTACTCACGGGATGTTTTCAGTGTCACTCGCACGAATAAAAACAGCACGATCAACCATGCTGCAGATAACTACAATCGCTGCTTTGTACCTGTTGTGAAAAAGTCCCAAATACGACAGAAAGCCAAACGCAGACGTGTCTGGGTTCACAGCACCATCCAGAGGAGGACGAGTAACGTTAGGATCCTGTATTAATGTGTGTGTTACATTTTACTACTGTATATATACACACACTGATATTACTATTACTTTTATTATTGATAGCAGCATCTCTGTAGCCATGCTAATAAAATACCACTACAACTGATT